AACATATTTCATTTTACGGGATAAATTTTTAAATGATATATTTGTAAAGATAACATCTTTATTTCCTTTATCTCCTTTTCAATAACATGAGAAATTATTTGTTTCTTTTTCTTTCCTTTACGATTGTATAGCTTTTTGCATTTTTTTTATTAACCTCGATATCCAATCCGCTATGTGAGCCGACTAATCCCAGGACGACCACCTGCTATGCAGATAGTCCGGAGTCACCGCATTTGAACATTCGTGGCCACAAGGGGATTTTTATTATTTTCTTTGATTTGAACCTGGAACCTTCTGATACTTTTGACCTTTGGAGCCAAACTCAAATCAATCAGGCATCACCCTTGTAATTAACTTTCTGCATTTTTCGTATTCACTACATTTGTTTTCAGTTTATGATCGTTCAAAGTGTCACTCGATGACTTCCCAAACCTAAAAAATGTGAATCCAATATTTTGTTGTGCCAAAGTACTAGATAATTATATATATATATATATATATATAGCTTTTAGCAATTTCTATCGATAAATACTTTGAGATATAAGAAAACATGGTCAATGAACGGAAACTACACATCTTTGGTCTAATTTTGAGATATGTAAACTTAATTATCGGTACACTACCCCTACCCCTATCCCTACCCCTACTTCTTTAGCTTCCTATCCTCCGGTATACGCTAGCTACAGTTCCCATCCCTAATTTTGTGTTTTCAGTAAATTTTATTAGATTCATAGTCTGTTTGGCTTATGTTGATGAATGAAAATGGAAATGAAAATAAAAATAACAGGGAATGAATTTTCATTCTCTCCCGTTTAACCAGAAATGAAATTTTAGGCTTCTGGAGGAATGAGTCCATTATATTTGATAAAAAACCAAACAGTTTTTTTTTTCATTCTCATTGATTACTGTTTAAACCTCTAACCAAACACCCCCTTAACTTTTGTTCTAAGCAATTTTTATGTCTTGGTCTAATATCCTAAGTGACATGAATCCATCATAAGAAACAAATTTAACTGTTTAAATCAATCATCTTCTGGCTGTAAAGGGTTAAAAAAAATCTGATCGAATAAAATTTCTTGTGGTATGTATTTTTTCAATTATATTTTAACATTTTTTTAATATTTAATAATAGAATAAAACTTTAACTAAAGTATATAACATGCAAATATGATGTTATCTACGTATAACATTTTAAAGCATAAGTCAATACGACGTTTGATGTGTGTTGTGCATTTTTCATGGACAAGTAAACTTCATTTGGTACACAAAGTGCCACATTTTCAAGTATTTGTCTCTTGTTATAACATTAAAATCGATAGGTTGATATGCATACAAATCTATCCACATTTATACAGATATAAATATACCACAAAAAAATAGAAAGAAAGTGTCGGCTTTGTTAATTACAATAAACCATTTGCAAAGCAGGTGGTCGTTCTGAGATTAGTCGGCTCGCATAGCGGGTTGGATGTCCAGATTAATAAAAAAACCATTTGCATTTCATTTCCCAATTTATTCATACACTACAACAAAATTGGATTTATAGAATGTCTAATTGTCTTTATAAGGCTTAGGTTTATAGAAACAAACAATTTTACATCATATATAAAAGTGTTACAATAAGTTTATATGATATTTTTAGATGTTTTAACGATATTTTTACAAAATTTATCAAATCAAGTGTCCTATCAGTTTTGTATAGGACATTTTTTAAAAATGTTGGATAAACAATTCTTTTAATTAATTGTCCTATTAGTTTTGTAGAATATTTCAAATGCAACCATGTTTATTTGTACAACAAATCCAACCTAATTAATTGAGATATTTATAGAAATGATTGGAGTTCATTTATTATGATTTGAATATTTATGGAAGATGAATAAAGTTCATTAATTATAATCAATACTTTATATTATGAAACAATCAAAACTTCTAAGAAATCACATATTTATCAAATTAAATGGATGGTTGAGATTAAATTGTATTGGTTGTACAAATGTAAAAGGTTGTATAATAACTCACCTCTAGTTTTGTATGGGATACTTTTAAAAAAGTTTCTTATAAACAAAAATTTTATGACACTCGTTTTTATTAGATAATATTGTTTCAAATAATGTCGTCTATAAAAAAATAAAAAGGACGTTTTTATTTCATAAGATTTCTTAAACTTTTTGTTAACACGTTTAAAAGCATCTTATAAACATATTTTAACACTTTTATTATAAGACGCATAAACGTTTGAAAATTACCTAAATAATTTTAACTGAATATAAATGATGATTGAAATTATTATAATCTTATATAAATTCTTTTTAGAAAATGTATTAAAATAATAAATTTATATAATTATATAATAAATGTTAAAATTTTAAAAATAAATAATATAACTTTTTTTAAAGATTTTTAATTTTTAATTTAATATTTAAAAAATTATAACGAATCTCTTAAAAAGGGGATTTTTGAATAAGTTATAAATAATAAAGCGTAAAACAACTCATCCCGATTCCCGATTATACACCGAGCAAGAAAACGATGGAAGTCTTGTCACAAGTAATTAAAACCTTCAATTAAGTTATACATCAGATATCTTCGTATAGTACTTGAAAGAAAAGTGGGGATACTCGTTTCCATTTTACATTTCGGGTCCATCATATTTGGACCTGTCCAAAAATCGTTTATTATATGGTTGGATTCACGTAAGAACAAGTTGTTTTCGTGAGATCTATAAGACAATTTTTTTATACTTGAAATTTCACAACAAAACATGGTGAATGTAGTGTAAAAAAGTCGTCTCACGAAAACAGAGTGGTCTCACGTGATATATTAATATTGATACTTCTATAGATCCCTAAAACCGTAACATTTTGCTTAATGTAATAACATACAATTTCATAAAAACATTTTTTCTTGAATATTTGCATATTCCGTTAATAATTACAAAATAGAAGGACCATGTAATCAAAACAAATTATTAATTACAGATTATGTTCAAGCTAGAACATAATTAAAATAAAAAAACGTGTGAACATTTATATCACATTTTTTTCTGGAAAGCCAACGGATAAAAGAAAAGAGCTCACACTTATATATATATATATATATATATATATATATATATAATATTTTGAACTGAAAATCAAATGTGATTTAGGTTTTGTCAACGTTTTTAGGTCATCAAGCCTAACTTGTGCATGCACGTACTATGTTTACCGAACTTGAATCACATGTGATTTTTAGTCGTAATGAAATAAACATTTATATGTTCATTTATTTTAACGATGTTTTCGTTTAAACTTTTATTTATTAAATAGGGAAAATTGCACCAAAATGAAACCAACTTTCACCTGATTCTTATTTTTGAGAACCAACTTTCATAATCGTCATTTTGGGAAACCAACTATCACCTGATTCTTATTTTGGGGAACCAACTTTTACCTGATTCTTATTTTGGTGAACCAACTTTCAAAATCGTCATTTTGGGGAACCAACTTGCACCTGATTCTTATTTTGGGGAGCCAACTTTCAAAATCGTTATTTTGGGAAACTAACTTGCATCTGGTTTCTATTTTGGGGAACCAATTTGCAAAATAATTACAGATTAATAACTAAAATTCGTTTTTTTCAAAAATTAATGCAATAAAATCTATTTTTTATTTCAAATCTCGTTTTTTTAATTCAGATATCAAATTGAAGATTTTTTTGAAAAATATCCAAGTTATCACGATAAAAAATGTTTTTTTACTAATGCAATAAAAAATCAATTTAATAAAAAGAAATTAATTGATGCAATAAAAAATAAATATCACATTCAAGATTTTTATATCTAACCAATCTGTGTCAATATTAAAGTTTAAATTAAATTTGGCAAATCCAACCAAAAGTTTGATAGAGATCCTTAAATTACCTGTTACATGTTCAACAGATCAACCAGACCCTTAAATAAACAAAAAGTTTGATAGAGACCCCTAAATGACGATTTTAAAAGTTGGTTCTCCAAAATAGGAATCAGATGAAAGTTGGTTCCATTTTAGTGTAATTTTCCCATTTTTCTATAATTATTTTGCAAGTTGGTTCCCCAAAATAGGAATCAGGTGCAAGTTGGTTCCCTAAAATGATGATTTTGAAAGTTGGTTCCCCAAAATAGAAATCAGGTGAAAGTTGGTTCCCTAAAATGACGATTTTGAAAGTTGGTTCCACAAAATAAAAATCAAGTAAAAATTGGTTCCATTGATGCAATTTTCCATGTTAAATATAAATAAATAAATAAATAAATAAATAAAATATAAAATAATGTAAAAAGAACGAATAAGAGCATCACATAAGGAAAACCAAAAGGAAAGGGTACCATGTGAGATGACTTGGAACAAGAACCGCCACACCTGGTGCTTGAGGTATATAAACAACCACCATTCAATTTTCATTTCTCTCTCTTCCATTTATTGTTTATATTCATTTATGATACTCTCCATTCCCTACATGCAAACATACCACTCTATCCTTTGTAAAATGACCAAAATATCCTTCATCTACTTTCGTCATCGTTGTTTTACGTATCTAATCGACTATCATCACTAGATTTGGTCATTTTCTAATTTGAAAATCTTAACGTAACGAAAGGATTGTCATAATCGTTCAGTAAGAAAAGAAGCCCGTAACCCTAGCGGCAAACACTTTGAGTAATTTCGGATCCGATCTGGTTCGTTAAAAATCGAGAAAGGACCAAATTGACCGTTTCCTCCCAAGTAGGCAACTAGATTAACCAACCGAAATGCAATGGCACCATTGTAATAAATGAGAATACACAGCCATTTGTTAGGGATTGATTATGGGGTATGTGAATGTATATATACACACACACAAAAGCAACATACAGCCATGCATGTCTATCCATTTCTTGATTTGGAATTTATCAAACGTAACCCTTTGATTGGTGGGGGGGGTCCAAAAGCAACCCTCCATCACCACCACTAGCCCCCAGCGCCCCTAAGCATGAATGGGAGATGAAAAACTTCTCATCTGAATCAGATCCAATTCTACCATCTCAAATTCCCGATCAGGAGGAGAGATCATCAGCCAAGTGTGAGTGGGACTTCCGTATCTCCGCCGTGATTTCTTCCTTCGTCACCGATGGACCCATCTCCGACACCCTAGGTGTCATAGAAGTTAACTCCTCCGGCACCCTTTTCGCCACCGGAGGTATTGCTCGGAAAATCAGAGTTTACAGTTTGAGTTCCTTGCTATCGATATCACCAAGTGGGGCGGAGGAACCACCGTTGGTCGACCATGCCACTGCATGCCTTTTTTGCATATGTACCCCAGCAAAACTGAGCAGCCTCAAATGGAAACCCGGGTTCGCCGGCCGGGTCATGGGTTCCGCCGATTACGATGGAGTTGTCACAGAATATGATCTGGAGACAAAAATGTCAATTTTTGAGCGCGACGAGCACAACGGCCGACGAGTTTGGAGCATGGACTACTCCCATTGGGACCCGGTGGTCGGAGCATCTGGTTCCGATGACGGAACCATGCAAATGTGGGACCCACGCCATGATGGCGGGAAATGTGTGGCTACCGTACAATTAGGGAGTCCTGTTTGTTGTGTGGAGTTCTGCCCATTTGGTGGCGCAATGTTAGCCGTTGGATGTGCTGACCGAAAAGCCTACGTTTACGATGTGAGGAAAATGGACAAGGCAGTGGCAGTCTTTAATGGGCATGAAAGAACCGTGAGTTACACGAGATTCTTGGATGATCGTACGGTGATGACTTCGGGTACAGACGGATGCTTAAAGATGTGGGATGTAGAGAATCAAAGGCTGATCCGAACGTACAGAGGGCATACGAACCAAAGAAGGTTCGTGGGATTATCGATTTGGAGAAATGAAGGATTGATTGGATGTGGGTCGGAGAGCAACGAGATGTTTGTATACGATAAGAGGTGGGGTGAACCGATATGGGTTCATGGGTTCGAACCAGAGGGTGGAACCAGGAGGTCTGAATATGGGTTCGTCAGTAGCATATGTTGGAGCCAACAAGGGGAAGATGAGTGCACCTTGGTTGGTGGTGGTTCCGATGGAGTCGTGAAGACTTTTTCCGGTAAAAGAAAGCCGTTAATTAACCTCCGTTAATTAATTAACTAAAAGCTGACAGATTTCTTTTTTACATTCGTTCCATCCCATTTTACGAATATTGATATCCAAAATTCCATATTGGATATAGATTTTCTTTTGATATAAATTTAGCTTTTTTATAGAACACACACTTCACGATTATAAGACAACTTATGTGCGTACCCGTGCGATGTTTTTGTCATCAATACGAGATTATATACGGCAACGGAGGAATACGATCACTTTGTTGCACCGCTAGAAATACCGGTAGAGATTCAAGTACCTTGAACATTGCTAAATGTACTTAGTTATGTATAGCTATTTATATGATGTCGATGTCTTAAACACTGAAAACTATCTATGCAACTTTGAATTGCAAAAATGTTCTGAACCGTTGCCATAAATCATAGGTTGCATTTGTTAGAATTTTTGTACTTCAATTTATTGGATCATGTTTCAGGAGGAAAACAGTGCATAAACCACCGGGTTTTTTTTTTTTTAAATTCAAGAATGAAATATGATTGTTAGACAAATTGTTAAGTTCTTCAATCACTCAAATAAAATTAATATTCCGCATTCTGTCAATTAGAATAAGCCGTAAATTTATCACTTTTCTCGGGTTATCGATCAATCCAATAAACCCGTCAATGCAATTATACAGATTCACATAGCACACATAATCAGTAAAGTTGGGTTAACAAGGAATCATAAGTGAAAAATTCTGATAATGGGTTTGAGAAAACTCTTGTAGACGCTTAACATCCTCAAGTTGTTTGTAATATTTCTAATTAAAAGTCCACCAAACAGTAATGTTACATTCATCGATCATTGCAACGATACACGCTAAACTAGGGGTATCCATGAGTTGGGTTGATCGAGTTGAAGACATTTCAAGAATCCAACCCAATGTTTACGATTTGAAAAATCAACCCAACCCAAACTGTACGGGTTGGTTGGGTTGATAATTTGGTACATCAAAATATTATTCTTCCCTTGAATATGTTGTATTATCTATTCATAATTCCTTTTTCATCATCAATCTTCTATTATAGCTTATTCATACTCTTTCCTATAAGCTTATCCATACACCTTATACGTAACGTGATAGTGTAATTGTCTTAAACATATATTAATGCAGACGTAAAAATCATAGTAAATCCAAAAAATAAAAAAATATCGGGTTCATCGGGTTAGGTTGGGTTGGGTTGGGTTTAAATGATCATAATCCTACGGTTTGAAAATTTTACAACTCGACTAGACATCGGGTCGTTTTGGGTTTGGTTGTTTCGCGTTAGGTTGGGTTGGCCAAGTTGGTTGAGTTTTTGATGATCTGTGCATGCTTGTACGCCTCATTTCATCCTTTGAAGGTGATGTAGATATTTGTTAATCTAACTCATCCTTCTGTATGCAAAAGAACAATAAAGGAAGTATAGTACTAATAAAATAGTATTTTATAACTTACTTTGTCTGATATACAAAACATGTTCTCATACTATGACAAGAGTTGGTGAATCAAACTTGTTGGATACGTTTGCACTCTAAAATATGCTTGTCATAAGTATTATTTGTCATACTACTTTTGACTTTATCTTGTATTGATTTTCTTTTGGCTAATTTTCTTTCGGCTAGATGACAATCCAATCCGCTTTGGTAACGATTTTGGCCCCACTTTAATACTCTTTCATTTCGTTGAGAATTATTTATTCCTTGATCAATACAGACAATTAAAAGACTTTTACAAAGGAAAAATCCTATCTATTCTTCTTCTGAAATATAAATATATATTTCGAATTCCAGCAAAGACTACTTATGAAGTACAGAACTCAGTGATACACAAGACTTAGATTTATTTTAGCTTTTGAGAATTAGGATTGGACGATACATTCAGAAGTCCAATTCAGATTTTAAATATGGATGTTGAATGATGAATCCAGATATTGAAACTAAACTCAGTCCGGATATCAAATCCTGATATCAAATGTTATAATTAGAACATAACTATTGTAAGGCTTTAACTAAGAATTATCCTAAGTGTTAGATCAGATGTATTTGTATTATCATCAAATCAAATGGTTGAGACAAACATACCTAACTAAGAAAGAAAGAAACAAAAAGAATTTAATAACAAACCTGAAATCGAAGCAATAGGAACTGGGACGGTGGTCTATGGTCGTCGTGACATATAGTCAGTAGGGGATGGTCGTTGGCGACGGTGGCCTCCTCGCCACCGCCCGAGATGATTGCGTTTTTTGGCCGGATCGAGAGAACTTTCCCGTGAACTTTCCCTTGATAGGTAGTATCCCATAAAAATTTCATAAACGTAAGTGCGTTTTTATAAAGGAATATAGATAAATAATAGTGTAAAATCGAAATTAAAAAAGTAAAGAATATAAAACAAATTAAAATAAATAACTATAAGTTATAAAATGTAAATTTTAAAAATAATTCACTACATATTTATGATATTTTATAATAAAATTAAATCAAATAATATTCGATATTGGACTTATTTTGAAAGTATTTGTGAGACGATTATGATAATATAAATAGTAAAAATAAACATATTTTAATTCATATATGATTATTTATGTTAATATGATAAGAATTTAAAATAAAAAATAAAAATATAAGACATATATAAAATCAATTAAATAATTAATTACAAGAATATAAATTGTAATTTAAAAACTAAAAATAATTTGAATTTCATTGAAGTTGTGCGGCTTTAAATATGTATTATTTTTTTACAGATATTTTCCATATTAATTATTTATTAACTATTTTATAAATAACAAATGCAATGATTAAGATTCAAAATGTAGGTGTTATTTACATAAATTACTTATTTTTTAAAAATCTATTTATTGAAAAATATTCAAACGATTAATTTTAAAAACTATCATAAATTACACAACAGGTTCAAGTTAGAATCATGTAAAAGATAGTTTAATTTTCTTCATCTGTATTACCTTATAAACCAGATTTATTAAAAGTCTTAAAAACAATTTTTAATGCACAAAGTCTTAAAAGTTTTAAAAACAACTCATAATGCATTAAGTATTACTACTTTATGCATTCGGTCTTAAAATATTTTAATCTACAATTAAAATAACATATAATACAAGTTACCAATGTACATTATTATATATATTTTTTTTCATATTTTAAAGATACTTTTGACACATTCTCACTAATGTCTTCACTCTCTCATACCTCTATGTCTTCTCCTCATTCCCAAAGGTAAGATTCAAACTGATATTCACCATGAGTTATTAAAAGTTCTCCCACTCATCTCCCATTCAATTGCTCTATAACTCTCGGTCTCGTTTTCGATCTTTTGATTCTTTGCTCTTTGTGTAAATCGAACACATTTGTGGAGTCGTTTAAATATGTTAGATTTCAAATATATTGGATTTTAAACTGTCATACAATTTTTTTCATTGATAGATTGTAATTGGAACCATAACTCTTATTTATTTAAATTGTATTAATATGTAAAGACCAAGTGTAACTTATATCATCATTAAATCTTCTCTAATAAAACAGTGAAACTTCAAAATCGTTAAAATTCACGTCTCCCACCGCATTACACAGATACACAACTAGTTAACAAATGAAAATATATTAATATAATAATTTCTTGAGTAATCAGGATTATTTTTGTTATCAAACTAAGTTAAATAAATAAATAAATAATTTATTTATTAATAAAATTATTTAGTTTTTTTAATTATTGTTATATTAATATTTAATAAGTAGGACCCATCATCGTGCACGGTGATTGGTAAATACACGATTCGTTTTCAGGGAGCGGTCCATGAAAATAAAGGACAACCATGAAATCATCTTCTCGAAATTCCACGTCACATTTTTGTCATAACAATTAAATATATCAGATTTTTATTTAATTTAAATTCATTTAATTTATGGTTATATGTATTTATGTGATTGATAAATAAAATTCGGACGTAAAAATAAATGGAAAAATATTCGACTATTCTGTGTAAAAGAATAAATTGCCAAAAATGAGAACCGAAACAAAAATGGGTTGATATTCGGAAACTTTGGAATGGGAGTAAAGCCCGATGAACCAATCTCAATAGTAAGCATTGGGCAGACGATAGGGGGAACAGTCTGTTGATTATTTTTTTTGCTGGCAAGGCATAAGAGTCGTTACCTATGGCCTGCGTGGTTTTCTTCAGAATTACACAATAAATGTCTCCTAACGCCGCGACAGGGACCGTTAGAAGCAGATTCAAATTGACTCACTACATGAATTGCATAAGCAACATCTGGACGACAAAAGAGAAAGTCTCGACATTAAGAAAATAGGGTCAGCTGTTAAAGAAAAAGCCTGACATTCATTTTTGAATGAATATTCATACCGAGTCTACTATTGGTCGTCATTACCACGAAGATGTAAACATGGGTTGTGACAGATCAGTAAGGTTACATAAACACATGAAAATATCAAATCATTGCATTTCTATAGGATTGAAGTTAAAAAGGAAACGTAACACCCTGAAATTTAAGTAGATTCATCCACGAGCTACTCTAAATCCGATCAAAGGAACTACGAAAAACACTTAGACAAATGAAAGAACTTCAACTATCGAAGGAGAATGGCTATTTTCAGATGCAACTGTGATTATATAGGAGTCAGGGACCAAAGTAGTCAAGCCGACAAAGTGTTAGTCTAATGGACAAAAAAAATGTAAAGTTGGAATTAATGTAGCCCAAGGGCTAAAGTGTCATATTGTGAAAGTTGTGGATTTCATTGAAGATGTGAGAAAAGTGGGATCTACATTTTCTTGAAAATAGGAAAAAAAAAAGTGATTATGGCTAACATGTGACTAAGGGGCTGTTTACTAAATGCCTACTCAGTAGGTATTTAGCGGGTAATTTTTCTCACTGGATGAACATGGCAAATGCCAAGAATTTTATCCGATAAGAGCGATAATAAGGATTGAGAGTCTTACCCGGTAAGTGAGGGTGACGACTCTTACCCGGGTAAGCGCTTGCTAGGTAAATTGTTGTATATGATACGTTTTGATGTACTACAATCTTACATAATAAAATAAATTATAGTG